GGTGCGACGTCTGGACTTGTGCTAGCGCTGTGATCACTTGCGCTCGTGGTGGATTGTCGTCATGGGCAGCAGTTGGGCTTAGTGCACAGTGCGATGGTCCTTGGATGCAGAAGGTGTATTCTCGCGGCTATCGAAAGCTTGCGTCGTCAGACAAGTGATGGGGGTGGAGTTCCTCCACCTCCCCCGCCTCCCTCACCTCCTCCGCCTCCACCTCCATCCCCACCGTGCCCCCCGGAGCCTGCGCCGCCGCCCGCGCCGCCGCCGCCTGCCTCGCCGCCGCCTGCCCCGCCGCCGCCTCCCCCCCGGCGGCACCTCCCCCGAGCAGGGGCTGGCCGAGCCGGAGCGAGACCGCTTCCTGCTCGCGGGGCGGGAGATATGGGGAGATGTGGGGAGATATGGGGAGATATGGCAGGGAGGCGACTTCCTGCTCGCGGGGCGGGAGATATGGGGAGATGTGGGGAGATATGGGGAGATATGGGGAGATATGGGGAGATATGGCAGGGAGACCGCTGCCTGCTCGCGGGGCGGCCACCGGTCGTACGAGACGAACCGCGGCGCGACGAAGATGCCCTCGGGAGAGCGGAGCTGGAAGCGGATGGCCGGTCGGCTGGGCGGGTGATGTCCCACCTCCCCCTGCTGCGGCCCCGCCGGTGGCGGCTCTTTGCTCGGCCGCAGGTGCGCCTGCATGAAGCGGAGCGTCTCGTCCCAGACCGGCTGGTGCGCGACCAGCCCCCCGATGCCGGCGAGCGAGGGCAGCTCGGCCATCGCGTGCACGCCTTGGTTGATGAGCAGCTGCACGCGGCAGCCGGCGCCGTGCAGCGTCTGCCGCAGCATCAGCGCGGCGTCCGACACGAACAGCTCGTCCTGCGCGTTGTTTGAGACGAGCACGGGCAGCCGCCGGCCGCACATCTTTGCCGCAAAGGCCTCGGGGGACCGCTCTTCGGCCCACGCAAGCAGCGGGTCGACGTCGGCGGCCGGGTCGACGACGGCAGAGACGAGGCTCTCCCACATCGCGTGGATCTGCGGGTCGGGACGGCCGACGAGGATGGACGTGCTCATCAGGATGTCGAACCAGACCTGGTTCGGCGCCGCCTACCAGAGGGGAGTCGCTCACATGAGAGCCTGCCGCCGCTGCCGAACGGGACGCTGGGTCGGGCGCCGCCTGCCCGGCGAGAGCTCTCGTCAGGTTGCCCCAGCCGGAGAGGGAAGCGGCACACTTGACCCGCGCGTCGTGCGCCGCGCCGAGGAGCGCGAGGCCTCCGCCGTACGACACGCCCACCATGCCGATCGCCTCCGCATCCGCCCGCCACTCCGCCGCCCTCTTCCCGACCTCGTCGAGCACGGCGCTGGCGTCCGCGACGTCCGCGGGGCCTGCGACCTCGATGAGGCCCTCCGAGTTGAACCAGCCGCGCGCCTGGTAGTGGAGCACCACGTACCCCGCCGCCGCCCACTCCTGCTGCTTGAGCGTGTACTCGAGCACGCACAGCGCCCAGCTGTTGGGCATCACGACCACCGGGAACGAGGCGCGCTCTCCGCCCCGCTGCTGAGGGATGGCGACGGTCGCGCGGAGGCGCGTGCCGTCTCCGCTCACCACCGTGAGGTGCTCCCACCGCACCGGACGCCCGCCCGGCCGCAGGTCGCTCAGGGAGACCGCCTGCGCCAGGCTCATCGCAGCGGCGTGTGCCTTGACCGCCGGCACCTGCACTGTCTCGTCGAGGAAGCCGGCGACCGCAGAGACTATGCCGAGCGCCCAGCCGGGAGCAGTCTTCTGCACTCTCTCTTTGACCTCCTCGACGCTGTTGGCAAACTGCTTGAGCACCTCAACCTGGTGGAGGGCGACTGCCTCCTCGGCAGCCTCGATGCCGTCGTAGCTCGCGCCGGTCCACAGGCCGTCGGGGAAGGCCGCTGCGGTCGCGAGCGAGGCGAAGAGCAGCAGCGGTTGTAGCGTACTGGGCATCCGGTCTGTGGCGGTTCGAGCGTGGGAGAGGGAGGACGATTCGTCGTCTGGCAGAGGAGAGCAAAACTTTGACGGATTTGGGCTCGGCTTGATGGCAATCGAAGGTGGAAGACGTTATTTTTCTTTTTTTACTTCGCCCCTTTTTTCGGAGGCGCCCGGCGGCCGTGCGCTTGGTGCCGACGTCGACCGGCTGCTCTCGCGGCGCCGAGGCGTGCCGCTTCGGTCACGTCTCGCGCGCTGCGAGGTGTCTTTTGGCATGTGAGCGCTTGGCATAGACGCCAGGAAGCTCGCCTTGCCTGCGGCCGCGGGCGTGCGGGCGGGCACGCCAGGCTCGGCGACGCTCCGCGCGGGTCTTCGAGCTCGCGGGCCGCGACGAGCCAGCATGGCTCGTCGCTCGACGGGAGCCTGCCCAGCATGCTCTCGGCACTCTGTACAGCCTCGACAAGCTGTCTGGGAAGGCCGACAGGGCCAGGGCGGGCCGCCTCGGTTGCGATGGCGCGCTCCCTGAATGCTACCATGACTACGAGCTCTCCGATCGGGTCGCCGGCGGCGGGCTTGCGCGGCGCGCTGCTCGACGGCAGGCTGCTCCCCAACCTTTCAACAGTGTCTTTTATCTCGCTCCTCTCGCTGCAACCGCCTGCGGGGGCCGGCGCCGGCCGCCTCGCTTCGCCAGCGCTGCCTACGCCTACGACACGCGCATCGGCTCCCCGCCCGCGTCGCCTGCGGCGGGCCCGCGGGCACGACGCTCGTCGGGAGCGTGCTCAGCAGGCTGTGCAGCGCAGCCTGACTCACTCAGAGCGCTGCGATGCGC